ATTTGAATCTCCTGGACACATTGAGTATTAGTCATTTTTTATTGTTATGGACTATATCTGTAGTGTTTTGAACGTCATCAGTTTTTTTAAAAAATATGTTTTCCGTTTACTGACAGTGCAGTGCCATTTGTTTGTTTGTTTGTTTGGGTTTTTTTGGGTTTTACGTCACATCGACACAGTATAGGTCATATCGCGACGTTCCAGCTTTACTGGTGGAGGAAGACCTCAGGTGCCCCTCCGTGCATATTTCAGGCACGAACGGGCACCCGAGTAGAACCACCGACGTTCCGTAAGCTAGCTGGATAGCTTCCTCACATGAAAGAATCCAAAGTCCCTGTCGGGATTCGAACCCACAGTGGTGAGGGGCAAGTGATTTGAAGCAGTGCCATTTGATATAGTTTCTAATAGCATTGAAGCATGCTGAAATAATGTTATTTTGTATTATAGCCACAACAAAGTGGCAAATGTGTTCGTATTTAAATAAATGATCATGGATTAAATTGTAAATGGTTCCAAAAAACAACAACAACAACAGATAATGAAATTCTCCAATAAACAAGCCAAGTACATTATGGATCAATGCATGTATAGACGGTTATCGGACTAAGATGATTAACGGCAGCAGCTAGCAAAAGTGATCAAGTCATTATGGTCTGATTCTATGCGCTTCCATAAAAAATTCATGGTTCATTTAGCCCCATTTCAAGGTTTTTATTTGTTACAATAACTGTAAAAATCATTTAAATCAATTTATGCGGTTGTAACGGAATTATTTTACACTAAATGACATGTAGTCATATACACTCGATATTTTTTATCAATGGATAAGAAGAATAGTGGAAAGAAGAATAGTGGAAAACTAAAGTTGAAATTATAAATTAGAAGTATATTGTACATGTATATAAAAGTACGGTATAGTTTACGAATAGGTGTAATATAATAAAGCAATATAATAAATGAAGATCATGTCCAAATTTGGTTCGATAATGTGTATCGAAAGGTTAATATATGCTTCAAGTTATTTAGAAACGGCATCAAGGTTGTTAATGACAGGAACCGTTCTTGCAGGCATAGTACTAGAACCATTTTTAAATTAAAAAAATCTGAAAAAGTGATTCCTCGGAAGCATAAATCACAACAAAATTACATGAAAATTGCAGTCACAGTTTGATTGAAACTGTACATGAAAGAGAATGATTAAATTCAACATCTCTCATGCCCCTAGCACCGGTTTGAACGGTACTCAGATCTCAACACTTAATAGTGCTGGCATAAATGATCCCGAAAGACCAGAAAAATATAACAACACTGAACTGAAGTACGGGCAACTTTTACAGCTGCCACACGGCACTTAACACCTGCTGTTATAAAAATCTGGAAACAAAGTGACCCTTCGGAAGCATTAAACCCAGGTACTGTAATGTCTCTAATATAGAATGACGCAAAGTTTACTGTGAACGAGATAGCTAGTTAACTTGACTTATTAACAAGAATAACACATAATATTCCAAAAAGCATTTGAAATCAGTGTAAATTATTTAAGATTCGTGCCGGGTCTGCACAATGACGGTCAGAGTACAGTGTGCACACAACCCTTTAAAAACACATTAAAGAAACTTAACATGTCGCTTACATGTGACGAAACACTGATATCATACCGCCTTGAGCATCATCGGAACCCACGGTACACATTCCGTATATACATGTATACGGTAAATAGCCTGGGTTACCGAGGATGCGCTTTGAGCAACAGAGACGCTAAACAATGAAGACAAGCCAAAAACAACTATCAATCACAATCTTTATTTAAATCTCCTGCATAAATAGCAAGATATAAAATAGTTGAATTACATATTACAAGATAAAAGCTGTTGCCAATAATGAAACTTGAGTCAAAAGATATTTTTGCGCCAAAAGTCCATTCGGTCAAAAGACGTTCTCTACGATTGTGTACGTCAATTTCTTTTTTAAATTGCAAAATATTTTAAAAGTACCATAGTGGAAGGTAGGAAACTCAATTCGCAAGGACTTCCAACATACATTACAGAGTAACCTCTCTTCATACATATTTACAACTAAAATAAAAAAAAACTCTTGATAATCTTGTTTTGAAAAAAAAATCTGGTAATATACATAGGATATGTGTTTGTATTTGTGTAAAATAAAATTACATCATATTGTGTAAGCCTTACATCATACACAATAATCAAACAAACAAACACACAATCTTCATTTTTTGATATGCTTACAAAAGTCTTTAATAGAATTTCCTCAATACTAACTTTAATATTAAAATCAGTGCTATGAAATTCAATGGTAGATTCACTCTTTACTATGGAAAGTTAATGTTTGCTATGGAAATCACTGGTTCCTATGAAAATTTACATTTTGCTATGAAAAAGTCAATGGCTGCTATGAAGTAACTAGTTGCTATGAAAGTCAATGGTTATTATGGGAAGCGAATGATTATTATGGAAACATCGATTGTTTTGGAAAGTCAAAGGCTGCTTTAAAATTTCAAATTTTGCTGCAGAAAGTCACCCGCTGTTGTAGATGTGTATGATTGCTATAGAAAGTAAATGTTGCTATGGAAAGACAATGGTAACAATAGAGGTCACTGGTTGCTATATTCGGGCTGCTGCAACAAACAAAAAGAATAATGCAATAAAGTGTGTTAAAAGTAATATTGACAATATAATTCTTCTGGGTGTGTCTGTTTCATCGTTACAAGTTACGTTTCCCTTCCTGAATAATAATAAAATTATTTTTATAACATAACCAAAAGATCAAGAATCCTCAGCCAACAATCTTGGGACTAAAATGACAATTTGATGAACATTCTTTCCATATCTCTTTCTATCCATTTTTTTAGTTTCATAAAGTTATAACAACATCATAGGCAAATATAAAGCACGTTCCCTGTCGTAACAATATGAAATCCCGAAAAAAATGACAAGGAAAGATTATCTGAATATTATTCCTTTTCCTGTCATCGTGATGAGTAAACCCCAGAAAGAATAACAATTCAACCATCATGTCTTATTTTATCACCGAAAGACAGAGTGGTAACTAGATTGCGGGTAACCTGTACTCCAGTTAACGCACTGTGTATGTACGGGTGCACGATTTAACTAGGACAACTTTTCAATTTAAAGGTCTCTAAACTATGACAGTATGATACAATCGATGTCAAACTCGATAGTGCTTGCTGAAAATTAGACTAGTGTAAACTTTGGATAGTTTTATGTTACAATGTATTTTCTATTGCTTGATCCAATGACATCATAACGTTATTTCAACTTTTTTATAAAACACGAAATACACTATGATTTAGCTAGTTTTACTATGGGTATGTTTGCCTTTCAGGAATCAAATAAATCTTTATGTTGTTTTATTTGTCCTCTACCTATATCAATTTATATGATAAATAGCCTAAGTCATTATACGCATTGTATATAAGATTAAGTTGGAGATGTCGTTCAATAAAATTATTTCTAACAGAATCGAGAGTTCCCGTTGTTCCTTCTTTTGAGCAGTATATAAGACATGTAAAATGTATGAGATAATGGGATAGTTTTAAAGTATAACCGTTAGATTTACATTTTTATTTTAAAATTCCATTTGCTCCTAGAATATAAATAGATTACTATCAATGTGAAAAAGAAATTTCATAAATGATCCACTTCTTTAAATTGAATGATAAGATATCTAATCCAAAGATTTAGAAACCCCGAGGTAAAATATAAATCAAAAAAGATTAAGTTCGATAAGTAGCCTGATAAAAATGGTGTATTTACATTTCTATTTTGTAAGATTACAGCTAGGTAGCATGTGTCATTTATCTGCGCAGTGACTACTCCTAGTCCAGGATTCTTCTCCAATGAAAATTATTTCAAAAAAGGAAGTGATCAATAAAATTGTGTGAGTAATTTTTTTTAATGTTTGGTTTTCTCTTATCGCTTACAACGTTTTTGAAAATTCATGTAAAAGTTAGTTTCAGGATGGCTTCTTTAACATGGATTATACTTATTTTTATCAACATGTCGTTTGTATTGTGTGCGAGAAAGTATTGTGTACGGATGGATTATACATCTTTTGAGTGTAACTATATTCCAACAGACATTCCAAATGGAGTTTCATCTGTTCGACTCTGGAATTTCAAGGAACCCAATTCAAATTATACCGTTAATAATACATTTTTTAGAACGAACAACTGGAAAAAAGTTAAAAAACTTGAATTAACTTACAATTTGAGTGAACCTTTCAGTCATTTTAGTTTCCCTTCAGCATGTTTTGTAGGTTTACATTCGCTGGAGGAATTGCACATGCATTTACTGACAAGGATTATAATGGATTCGAATGTCTTCCTAGGCATAGAAAAGTTAAGTTTATTAGACCTGGATTCTTGTACGCGGTTCCCTTTGACTGATTTAATTCCTTGCCTGGATGGTAAAACAAAACTACCACTGTTACAGCATTTGATACTATCGAAACTTAATAGTATCTGGGATCCTATTGACATAGACACAAGATTTACAAACGCGCTGAAAGACAAAAATATATCAACTTTAGATTTAAGCTCAACAAGTATATCAAACATAAATTTTACAGCTTTGGCATTAGACATGAACAAATTGAAAGTTTTGAATGTTTCTCATTCTTCCATCTCAAATACTATTTTGATCTTCACCACGAAACTTAAACAATTGAATGTAGATACTTTTGATGGGAGCTATTCTACATTATTCCGTTTTATTCCATCTGTCAGTTTAGTCAACATAACAAAGAACATTTCAGATATGTCGAGATGGAATTTTTTTCTCGCACCTAACGTTGTAAACTACAGTAATATCTTCCATGGTATAGGTTACATTCGATTAATTAACTGTACGATAATAGTAGACAAGCCTGTCCAATGGCAGAGCCATGAAATTATACTCAGCAAAAACCATTTGAAATACCTTGATATAAAAATCCTTAGTGGCACCTACAGAGCCGATATGATAACGCATTTTGATTTAGCTGAGAACGAGCTAGAATTTCTACATCCAAGTTTAGCAGCTATGATGCCAAACATAGAAAAACTGGATCTGTCTAAAAACCAACTTTTCAAAATGGCTCAAGGACACAAAGTGTTATTTGCACAATTATTGCTTTCATTGCGCCATCTTAAGATAATAAATCTATCGTCAAATTATCTAAGTACCATACCGACAAAAATGTTTATAAAAAGTCATAATTTACAATTTATTGACCTTTCTTGGAACGGACTTGAACAGGTGACGTTTACCTTAAGCCATTTAATAAATCTCGAAGTACTACTTCTACGGAACAACAAGATTAAAGATTTCGATGTTTTATCAATGAGAAATATAGATTCCGTCATTGCCAATATCTCATACATGACACACAATAAGTTAACAGTATATCTGGAGTATAACCCTCTGTCGTGCTCAAAATTCGAGACAGAAGCATTTATAAACTGGCTTTTAAGTACAAAGTCTGTGAAAATTCCACTTTCCAATCTAACATGCAGTGACGAGAATGGCTCTTTTAGAGCTATTGATCAAGCTACATTCAAATATGTTCAAGGCATTTGCAGGAGAAGAATTATTATTATTTCAACAAGCGCAGCTAGCGGACTTATGGCCCTTGTCGCTCTTGTTACTATAGTTGCCGTCTACAGATATCGAAAGATGACTAAGAGGAAAGCAAACAGAATAAAATTGATTAACAGATTACGCAACGGAGAAACATCATGTGAATATGTTGTTTTCTTGTCTTACAGTGAACACGATCAAATCTTTGTAAAAGATTATCTGTATGAAAAATTGAATGAAAATCTAAAACAAATGACGAGAATAAATAAAGATTTAGTCTGCCAGTCTGATGGAAGACATGGTCAGAGTATAATACAGGAAAATGGAAACTATATATTGAAATCCTGTGCATTAATTGCGGTCGTGACAGACAATTATCATTGCGATCCAAACTGCTTTTTCGATTTAGATTATGCATGCAGCCTTCTAATGCCTATAGTAATATTTATAAATGAAAATACAGACAAAGCCATATTTGAACAGAAAATGCTGAAGCCTTATATTAAAAAACCCAGAGTCACATGGAAGTTTGAAAATAATCAGTACAACATGAATACAACAATAGAAGATCTTTGTTCTTCACTTTTAGACATTATTGCCAACAGTGGCAAGATTGAGTAATAAACGAGGATAAAAGAAATGCACAAAGCGGACATCAAAGTTCTAGCTCGAATTATACCCGGAAAGTTTCCTGGCATGGTACCAAAGCGATTTGAACAAAACTTTTGCAGCATTATTAATCGACTCTAAACAAACAATGCAAAAGGTTTGTTTCCAAACCAGTTACAAATAAGTGCAGTTTCTTGCTTATGCACATAACCTACTACATGTATAAATCAAAGCACAGAAGGCGCTGAATATGTTTGGGTCTCAACAATGCTTTCCAGCGTTTTAATTGTAGTAAATTGGCTATAAGACTGATTGCAATACTGATATTCAATCCAATGTTTACTTGACTTAAACAATTTTTAAAAAAAGCGAGCGTGAAAACCCTTCAGCCACGGTGAATTTATTTGTGAACGGCTTGAAGAAAACCATATTATTCGATCTAAATTTGGGCTTGTAACGACTTTAACTGTTGTTTAACACAGATGTAAATAATCCTGGAGCTTACTATAAGCATGTATATTTATAAAGAATCAAAGGGCTGCAAGTTCTGTGGTATTTTCTGATCTTTGCAATCTAAATCGTACTGTATATCTGTATGTATTTTCCTGTATAAGTTTATTTTTATGTATTATAAATCATTTTGCTAGGCACCAGAGTTTGATACAAACGGAATTTTACATAACTAGAGTTGCATCTAAAAATCATTTATATTCATTTTTTTACGACAGCCACAATTTATCCTTGCATATCATAGCTACTCCCTTTACAAAGACACTTAAAGAAGAATTAAAAAAAAAAAAGTTTCCTCGACTGTGATTTGAACTCCAGACCTCTCACTCACTAAGCGAGCGTGTTACCCCTGCACCAAGGAGAAGTTATACAAATAATGTCTGAATAACATCAAGTGATTCTAAATTTAGAACTTCTATTGCATTTCGGGTTTGTAATCCTTATTGATTTCGAGGTATTTTGTTCAGGATAAACCTGTTGTTTAAAATTGAAGTAAATAATTTAGCGAAAATCTTCTCGCCCAAACAGTCCGACATGTAGAATCTATATATTCCACTACTCGGTTTGTGTAGTATTCGGTAATCGACATCGCTAAAAATAGTATTTTTATTGATAAAATCATATTCATCCGCGTAATTTGTGATTGTTCATTTATTGACAATTCTATAAGCCAACGCTATTTTTAAACTTTTAATGTGTTGTAATTTGTTTGATACTTGTAACAAAATAAAAATATTTCTTTCTTTTAAATCGCTAGTTTAAAGCTGTTTTGAGAACTACTTGTTGTTAGGTTTGTCATAAACTTCTATGTCAGAGATTGAATGTCCGCTTTGTATTTACTTATTTTCGATCAGAAAATACACTAAAACAATATTAGAAATATTCGACCATTCGGGAATTATTTTGCTTGAATATAGATGTGCCTGTCTTTGACCATCTTTACGCAGTGATCTCCCCAGAATTTTTCGGCGTTAGTGTTACATATAAAGGGAAGTAACCGCCTCAAAAAAGTGGACTACTTTCGGCATTTGCAATTAACAACATAAGACTCTGAAATTTCGCTTCCATTATTTGTTTGGTCTGACGATCCAAACAAATAAAAATAAAAATGATCATTTTTTGCAATGTCGAGGTAAAGTATTTGTATTGTGTAACGACTTGCACAAAGTACAATGATTTACTGTGTGCAGATATGCTAGTAGTGTGCAAACATTTCAAAATTATGGAAATGAGACGAATGACATGAAGTGTGTTTTAACGCTACATTTTGTAAACTCAGTTATACCTAGTTCATAATTTTGTTTTCCTTCTTCTTTTTCTTTATTATAAACATTTTAATAGAATATGTATCATCACAAACATATATATCAATTGTGTGCTTAAAGCGACTGTTAATACAGTCATTCGTTACAATATTGCTATTTTAAACAGGAATGTGTGCACTAATACATGTTTACTGAATTCAACCTGAAACTTTACCGAACAGTAAAAGAAAATGTGGTTGCTTTGTGAGTCACTGGTTGTAATGGGAAGTCACTGTTTGCTATAGAATTCTATGGTTGCTGGGGAAAGTCGCTATTTGGTATGGAGGTCAATGTTTGCTATTATATAGAAAGTCACTTGCTGCTTGAAAAGTCACTGGTTGCTATGGAAAGTTTGTGGTTGCCATGGAAATCGGTGGTTGCTAAGGAATGTCAATGGTTGCAATATTGGTCACTGGTAGCTGTGGAAAGGCACAGGTTGCTATTGAAAGGCACTAGTTGGTATGAAAGCTAAATAGTTACAATGAAAATCAATGATTAGTATGGCAAGTCTATGGGTGCTAAGGAAATGTACTGTTGTTATGGGAAGTCATTGGTTGCTATGGATGTCTATGTTTGCTATGCAAGGTCAATGATTGCTATGGAATCTTATGGTTGATATAAAAGCCGCTGGTTGCTATGGAATACCATCGATTGCTCAGGTAGTCCATTGTTGCTATCAGAAGGAAGTGTTTGCCATTGAAGACAACGGTTGCTATGGGGTCAATGGTTGCAATATTGATCACAGATTGCTTTGGAAAGTCAATAATTGCAATGGAAAAGAACTTTGCTGCTAAAATTCAATAGTTGCTTAAGAGGTCTATGGTTGTCATAGAAAGTCAATGGTTGCTATGTCAGTCAATGGCTGCCATGTAAGTCACTGTTTGTTATGGGAAGTCACTAATTGCTATAGAAGTCAATGGTTGCAACAGAAAGATATTGGTTGCTATGGATGCCACTATTGAAATGTATGGTTGCGATGGAAAGTCATTGGTTGCCATGGGAGTCAATCACTGGTTGCTATGAGATGTCATGTATAAAAAAAATCTGAGTTTTTACCAAGTGGGTAAAATTTTTAGTCTAGTGCTGTTCTTTGTTAAGCTTTTGATGAGGTTCATAAGACTATTTCATGTCAAATATTGTAAGATAAAACCCGTGCAGTTTTTTTTATTTTATAAGAAAAGGCTATGATCCCCTTAGGCGTGACCAATTCGACCAATGCCTATATCATGAATTTACTTAGTAGGTCTACTAGATAATGTTTAGTGTAAAAAAAACAACAATATTTTGCTCTTAGAATTCTTATAAAAGTTTTTACTATTGAAACGTACCCGGGGTCTGCTAGCCCGGACACACTTCAATATTGACACGTGGGTTCTTCTCAAACACACGTAAATGGATAAGGGAAATTAGGGACACAGGGACTAAAAGATACGGACACCTGAAATAAGATTAACTCAACAATTTATTAAATTTACATTTCACAAACAATAAAATTGGTATATAGTATCTTCTGTGGATGGCTCTGGCTTGGGCTCCTCGTCTTAGGTCAGGGATATTCTTCTGTTACGTCTAGAATAATGTATAATATAAGATGTAATGAAAGGCTTGACAAATACGGTGTCACATCTTGCCTGTGGTCTGGTACGAATTCTATGGTAGGAATTACCATGAAATGCTATAAGGTTGATGGGGTATCTAAAATGGTAACTACAAAATACAGTGGTGTTCTACCCTGGTATATGGGTATCACTATAAAATATGGGGTTATGGCTATGGAAACTTTGTCTTCAGTCAGGATCTATCATAAATGGAAAATAATGCCAAACTAGATGATTAAATATAAAGCTTCTATATAAACTATTACTGGCACGAAATATTATATACCTTTCTGGTGGCTGGAGATACATCCATACTCATATATGGTATAGAATGAAACTAAGGTGTGGTCTGGTGGCTATCTACCAAGGTACTGACAATTTTGGCAGATTCGGGCTGCTATTTATAGTCTCGGACGCTGGGTGGCTAGCTTGGCTAGGGTGCCTGGCTTGGCAGTATCGTCATCGTCTCCGATGACGTCACTGCCTGGCTCGCGCGGGCAGAAATTTAGCCTGTACCAGCTGCCATGTTTAAATTGGCAGCGTGTGTCTAATTGATCAATAAAACGGCTACAACGTAGAAAATAAATTATTTTAAATAATATAACCATCGTAAATATTAAAAGGATTTTATCTGTAGATGCAGTGTATGTTTTGATGATTAAAAAGTTGATGTCATGAAGTAGAGTTAATTACTTCAGTACTTGAGTAGTTTCCGGATACGGGTTTATTTTCGGACGTAAAATGATGGGCTTGATCGTTACACTACATACACTTGCATTAGATCTATGTTTCCCATGGCGGGGCCTATCAGACCAAAGATCTATCATTTGAACAATTTTTATAGACGCCCGCCCGACAATATTTCATACAAAATATCTCAGTTAAAGCCTCTACATGTATAGTATAACAAAATTCTTTTTTTGTTTGTTTTTTAATTATATGCATATAAGGAAAATCAATGACCCCTGGGACAATGCCATTTTTGACCCAGGAGGTAATAGATGTTTACAAGATATTGTTCCATGCTAAATGTCGGAGCTGTAGCCCTTGTAGATTTGAATAAGAAAGATATTTAATATTTTCACTAAATACATATAAGCAGAACATGTTATCCCCTGGGCGGGGCCAATTTTGAAACAAGGGCTATAATTCGAAAAATCTTGGTTGAGACAATGCAAAATATCTAAGCTTTTGGTCGTGTGGGCCTTTAGAAGAAGGTTTTGAAACGTGTCTTATTATTCCATTTGGTTGCCATGGCAAACCTATATTTGCTTTTGATCAAATTTCAACAACTTTAAAAGCCCTTCATTCAGTGAACAATCCTGGCAAGTTAGGTTTAAAAAGAAGATTTTTAAGTTCACTATATAAACTATTTGCAAGACACACACATGCGCATACGTACGTACATGCACACACACGCACCCACACAAACAGGTGAAATGCTCGATGCCATTCTATTGCAGGTGCTTCAACGGCTTAAAAATAATTTATCTATCTTTTATTATTTTATCTATTTATTTATCTATTTTCTTTTTAAATAACAACTCATATTGTGTATTAACCTCTCTTAAAAGTTCACACTTATCAAAAAGTAAAAGGC